GGGACACGGGTCAGGGACACGGGACAGGGACACCGAGCCGCCCCCGGCCACCAGCGCGGCCACCAGCGCCCCCCGGGACCGGGAACGGCCCGGGAGGGACGACAGGGACACCTGGGGGACAGGGACACGGGTCAGGGACACCTGGGGACACCTGGGGACACAGGGACACGGGTCAGGGACACCTGGGGACACCTGGGGACACCAGGCGGTAATACCGGGAATATCCCAATGACCGGGAATACCGGGAACGGGAACGGTGGAATTATCGGGAATACCGACAATGCGAATGATGGAATAACCGGGAATGGCGACAGCTAGAGTACCGGGAATACCGGGAACGGGAATGGGGAGAGTGACCGGGAATACCGGGAACGGGAATAGCAGGATGACAGGGAATGGCGACAGTTAGAATACCGGGAATACCGGGAACGGGAGCGGCGGGAAGGGCGGGCAAAGGACACGGCGGGCGCGCTGGGAGGAACGGGGGACACCGGGCACGGTGTGCGGACAGAGCCCGGGGAGCCGCGGGAACGGGACGGGAGAACCGGGGGCACCGGGGGGGAACCGGGAGGGGCCGGGGGCGGAACCGGAGGCACCGGGGGGGGTGGGAGAGATAACGGGGGCACCGGGTATGGGATAACGGGGAACACCGAGGAGGGTGATCAGAGGACCGGGGGGCAGCGGGCACGCCGGAGCGGACCGGGGTTCACCGGGCACACCGGAGTGGGACGGGGCACACCGGGGCACACTGGAGCGGGGCGGGAGGGGACCGGGGCACACCGGAGCGGACCGGGGCACACCGGAGCGGGGCGGGGCGCACTGGGGCACACCGGAGCGGGGCGGGGGTCACCGGGAACACCGGGGCACACCGGGAGCGGACGGGGCACACCGGAGTGGGACGGGGCACACCGGGCAGGCCGGGAAGGGGCCGGGGTCACCGGGCACACCGGGAGCGGACCGGGGCACACCGGGGCACACCGGGCACACCGGAGCGGGGCGGGAGGGGACCGGGGCACACCGGGAGCGGACGGGGCACACCGGAGTGGGACGGGGTGCACCGGGCACACCGGGCACACCGGGAGCGGACCGGGGTTCACCGGGGCACACCGGGCACACCGGCGCGGGGCGGGGTGACCTTGCCGCGGGCGCGGCCGCACTCACCGCGCCGGGGCCGGGCTCGGGGCGGGCGCGGGGCCGCAGCAGCGCGCGGGGGGCGGGCCCGGGCCGCGCGGGGCCCGGCAGCAGCCGCAGCCCCGGGACGCCCCGCAGGCCCCGCAGCGCCGCCATCGCCGAGGTCGAGGGGACGGAACTGACGTCACGGGCCGGAACTGACGTCACGGGGGCGGCGCCTCAGGCGCGCGCGGGTTCAGTGCGGCGCCCCCTGGTGGCGGGAGGGAGCGGCGCGCGCGGGCAGACCACGCCCACCGGAGACCACGCTCACCGGGAAAACCACGCCCACCGGGAAAACCACGCCCACCGGGGACCACGCTCACCGGGGACCACGCCCAGAACCAAACCACGCCCACATGGAAACCACGCCCATTACAAACCACACCCATTACAAACACACCCTTTAAACCACACCCATTACAAACACACCCTTTAAACCACACCCATTACAAACCACGCCCATTACAAACCACACCCATTACAAACCACACCCTTACAAACCACACCCTTTAAACCACACCCATTACAAACCACGCCCATTACAAACCACACCCATTACAAACCACACCCATT